TTTTTTTTTCTTACACCGATTAAATCCTTTAATGCAACAAATTTGTCTTCACCGGAAGTTTGCGAAGTTTTCCTAGCTGAAACTTGCCGAACTGAGATTCCTGTTCAATATTTCATACGATTTAAAAAGCTACATAAGAGCTTTTGTAGTAAAATAAATAACACTGTGTAATAGTGAAAATGAACGTAGCTCTGGCTGAGTAATTCATACGACTAGTTTAAAATCTTTCGAACTCCTTGCAATTCTCCACTTATCCATAAAAAAAACATTTTTCGCATTTAATTTGGTCCATACAAATATTTTACTTTTTTCCAGAAATAATAGACTCACCAAGAACTTTTTAAATAGTGGATAATTGAAAATGTGGCAGCCGCTGCGGTGGAGTTTTTAGAAGTGCGTGCTACCACTCCGCAGCACAGCCTGGGTTCCAGCCCTGGTCAAAGTAACATCGCAAAAAATATAGAAAATATATATATGTATGTAGCAATGACCAAATGCCATGAAAAATAGCTTCTCATAAAAATACAATCGCCGATCGGAAACGGCGTAAAACTGTAGGTCTCTCCCTTTTGTGCGACAACATCAAGGCGCACGCCACGAATCGGAGGAAGAGCTCGGCGAAACATTAAAATACATATGTGCAAGCGCCAATCTATTATTACTATTTTCAAATCATATTCTACGACATATTTCTCGATACAAATGATACAAAAAAAATGGTCCTCTATGCAACCTATCGGGAAAATTAACACACCTGACAAGGCGAATTTATATACGGTGGTGTTGTTTAATCAGCTGTGTGTAGCGTTTGATTGTCAAAAGTTTATATTTTGCTAGTGAGTGAGTGAAAACGTGAGAGTGTTTGCATTTTCTGTCGCCCTTTTTCATTCGGAGAAGAATAGCTGAAATTTGACAATCACCAGCTAAAAGCAAAAACAAAATACAGGTAATTGTTGTATTTGTTGAATCGATACCACCTTATATGAATTCGCCTTGACACCTGACTGAATCATGTTTACTTTTTTTGAGGTAGAATTATAAAAAAGGGGATCTCGTCTCCTTGTAATAAATCTCCTAAAGTCAGGGACCGAAAATAAGACTTAGTTTTTTTTAAGTCAACTTGGCCAAATATTTTTTAAGTCTGAAATAAAAGTCATTTCCTGATAATACAGTGCAACAAATTGTACCACCTGAGTAAATAAAACACATCGTTTCTTGTAGATTTTTTTTGGTGCGAAATCCAAATCTGGCCGCAGAATTGCTGTTTTACTCTCGTGGTAACAAAAATGTAAAAATTTGTCGAACTGTGTAATAAACAAACCGTTTATCCAAATTAAACAAGTTTGGTATCAAATGAAAGAGGACTGAAATAGCTTTAAAACTGAAGTATCTAAACGAGAGAAGCCACCTATTGGAAGATATTTCAATAAAAACTTTTATTTAATTACCATAGAACAAACCTTGGGTCAGGTATATGAATTTCTGTCGTATTAAATTATAAAAAAATATAAGTAGAGGTGGTAACTTTCGTTGGCTATTCGTCATTTGATACCAGATTTGTTTAAGTTGGATAAGCGGTTTGTTTATTATCACGAAAATAATTTTTCCTTCAAACTTAAAAAATATTTGGCCAAGTTGACTTAAATAAAAAATAACTGTTATTTTCGGTCCCTGCCTAAAGTATGTTGTATAAACCACGGCTCATACGAAAACGTTTTCTTATAAAATCTTGGAAAAAATATCTCTTAGTATAGGAAATATAAGAAATAACTTTCGTTAGGCCGAAGTTGCACTAGGCATTGAAATGACAAAAAGTTTGAGGCATTTAAAAAATTCGTTGCGGAAATTGATTTAATGAATATTTTTTTAACGTAATTACACGAATATTTTTAAATGCCCAACTTTGCCATTTAAAACTTTAAACAACTAAAAAGTCCTAATAGCTCCAAAGCCGAGCTACGTGTATTGGTGATGTTTGTTTTGGTTCTTTGTCAAAATTTTTGTTCAAATCAAAAAAGCAAGATATTGAGAACTTTAATTTTTCAGTTTATATTTCGATGTTCTTATATTCTCAGACAAATCTCTCGCTCTCTTAAACAGTGTTCCTTATTGGGTTTGAGCACTAATCTTTCAAAAGAAAGGAGTTCGAGTGCTTAAGCAAAACATTTTAAATTTTCTTACTTGCCAGCAAAACAAGAATTTTCCATAAACACCGAGCACCACACAATGATAGCCAAAGAAATTGGACAATGATGATGATTGCTTTGATGAAGAAGCTCTTACTGCTATTGTCCGTATTATTCTGTTTCGGTTCGGTTCCACAGTCTTCATCCATCCCAGCACAAAATAACAAAATAGGGAGTGCGGGCTGCCAAATTCATTTTTGCAATTAATTAGTACATGCAACGCTCTGAATTTTTGTTGTTTGTACCAAAAGGTGGACTCTTTGTGGCTGATATTTTTTGCAAGGATTTCAATTAAATAAATTTCGGGCGCATCGGCGAGAGAAAACCCGATTGGATAGATGGAGTGGTGGGGTCGTTGGTGGCTGCAGTAATTGACAGCTACTTCTTTAATTCACGTGACTTCAGTGAGCAGTAAAATGTACTACCCGCCAGTCGGTTGTCCTTTCCACTAGGAATGCCTGGGTTTGAGGGGCGGCAACTCAAATTGAGTTAATTAACGTTAACATTACTGCAGGTGTTGCAAATATCTTTACTTTGCTAGTTTTCCTCTACACTCTTAACAGAATTAATATAAGCATTAAAACGAAGTGGCTATAATAATGTGAATGGCCTTAGCTACGACTCTTTCCATGTTCAAAAGGAAAATGGTTTCAAATTTACATACCGTCAAAATGGAAATGTTGATGAAACTAAATGATGGCAATGCTCTTGTTTACCCAAAAGGAAACGAAAAGTTTTTTACGTAGCTAAAAAACATATCGAATCGACTTACTACACAAATCATTTTTATCAAAATGGTGTTGGATAATTTACATTATTTACTTGAAATATTCTTTGTTGTCAACTAACTTTTAACGGCCGAATTCATAGTGCGAAGTTAACCACTCACAAAAGTTCAACTATCGGCTTACATATGCACAGTGCATAAGTTAATATTTCAATTGTTTTTATGGAA